TGTGAATGGTATTGTTTTTCTTCGTTCTGGCTCTGTATTCTCTTTGTCACTGTAGAGAAATCCAACTGATTTTTGTATGTTGATCTTGTATCCTGCCACTTTGCTGAATTGGTCTACTGTGTCCAATAGTTTTCTTGCTGAGTCTTTTTCTAAGTATACTATCATATCATCTGCATAGAGAGATAATTTTACCTCCTCTTTGCCAATTTGGATCCCTTTTTTACCTTCTCTTGTCTTACTGCTATTGCTAAGTCTTCCAATACAATATTGAATAAGAGAGGTGATAGTGGACATCCTTGCCTAGTTACAGTGAGTTTTGTGAAGTTTTTTTGGTGATTCTATATTTATGCCTTGACCGAGGAGACCAAAGTCTTTGTACTTCTGTGCAGAAGCAGATATCTGGTCATCTGTAACGAGATAGAATTTGAACATGGCTTCTCTGATTTATAATCGGTTGCCTCATCTTGATGAACAATGTGTGAGGAAAATTTTTTTCAGATTTATTATAAAAATAAATAAAACTCCAAATTTTCCTTTTTAACCATCTTTTGATTTTACAGTTCAGTGACATTAAATGGGTTCTCTGTGTTGTATAACCATGACCATGAAGTGTTTCTAAAACTTTCATCACCCCAGACAGAAAGCCAGTACCCATTAGGCAAAAAGAATTCTCAATTCTCCCTCCCCCTGACCCCTAGTAACCACTGCCCTATACTATTGCTATGCATTTACCTGTTGTTGTTGTTAAGTGCTGTTGAGTCGCAGGCAACTCATAGCGACTCACAGCGACCCTATGAAGGAGAATCCTCAATGCTTGTGTGTCTCTCATCCTCTCTCTAGGTTCATAGGGTTTCTGGAGGCAAGCTATTATGGAAGTGGATGCCACTCCTCCTTCCATGCATTTACCTAGTAGAGGTATTTTACACTAGGTGGATCATGTCCTTTTGTGTCTCACTTGTATCACACTCAGTGTTTTCAAGGTTCATCCTTGTCATGTTTTTGATGTTATACACTGTTGAGTCAGAACTGACCCAAAGCTGACCCTCCAGCATGTTTTCAGAGGCTCTAAATAGCACAGGATGAGATTGTCCATCTTTCTTCTGTGGAAGAGCTAATGGTAGCGCATGCCTCTGTGTTGGCAACAAACTCCTTATACACTAGGCATGTCATAGTGATGAAATATACTTAAAAATAAACACAGATGTTGAGTTTTTTCCAACGTGTTATGTATCCATCAAAATGAGCAGATTTTATCCCACATGGTCACCATGGTTTTAAAATTACTTAATAAATATTCCCCTGGGTGCTCACCACCAGCTGAGACCTTTGTGAGTTAGAAGGATGAAAGGTAGGGGGTCCTGCTGCTGGTAAAAAGACAAAGTGCTCCTAAAAGCTCCAACTGAGAGGAAATTGCTGGCCTAGAGACTAGTCCTTTTCTAATTATGTGGTTAAGGTAAGGGATGTGGAGCAGAGCTACGAGCTTCAGAGCTTGAGTCGTCTATTCTGAGTTGTGGATCTGTTTTCTTTTCTTACATCCTTTTGGTTCTCCAGCGGAGAGCTTGAAGCAGAGATTGGAAGACCTGGAGGTGGAGGAGCGAACACTGCGGTTCCAGCTCCCTTCCCAGCAGCCTGCGCTCAGTCGCATCCTGCACCAGCTGGGAGAGCAGGTTCAGGCAGCCTTGCACTGGGTGACTCAGGGGTAAGTACTGTGGCCCTCACTGTCCACTGCGTCTCTTCCTCTCCCTGGCTCTCTTTTGTGCAGAATGTTGAAAGGGGCTTAGCTGAAGAGTCTCTTGGCCACTTGTGCTCGCACCGCTGTTGCTTGGGCAGGCAGTGTTTCCTTCCTGAGTGAAGGAAAGGCAGTGGGCCACACTCCCTGATGAAGCCCTTACAGGCAGCTTCCAAGAGATTCCCTCCGTCAGCCACAGGCACAGCACAACCACAGGCTTTGGATTTAACTTCCCCCAGGGAGAGAACAGAGATAGATTTCCTTTTGTCAAGAGCAGCCTGGTGTCCTCTACCTGTGAGAGAAATCTTTACATGGCCCCTTCTTGAGTGAGGGAAAATGTGTCCTGCTCTGTACTCAACTTTCTATTCCTGGGCAGCTTGTGGTGTTTGCTATCCAAGGATCTCCTGGGGTGACCTTGTGGAGAGAGTAATGGTTTACTTCCAGCTACCAGCTCCTGATCTTGAATGCTCATTTGAATGGCCCAGAGAGCTTTCATAACCTGGCTGCCAGCTCGTTCTCATGGGCAGATCCACTAAGCCACCTGCTAGTGACCTTCTGCTGGAGGCTGTGAGCATGCAGACTCGGGTGCTACAGGGCTACGGCTGTTATCCAGCATGGACAATCGAACTGCAAGGTTCTTATGGTCTTACCTGTGTTCACTCACTAATCTGTGGCACCACAGGCATGGTGAGGCCCACACAGAATGTCACTCTAGATTGGTAAGTAAGCACAAGTAAGTCCTTACCTGGTCTACTGGTACCTTGATGCTATTGTGTACCACTGAGTCAGAGCTAACACAAAGCTAGACCTCCAGTGGGTTTTTAGAGGCCGTAAATGGCACTGGAGGAGATTACTCATATTTCTCCTGTGGAGTAGATGGTGGAGTCAAATGGCACACCTTTGAGTTGGAAGCCCAATTCCTTATCAGCAATCCACCAAAGTATGTAAGTCCAGCACAGAAGAGGCTCTGACTCTATAGGAAGGTCCTGTGTGGTTGGGAGGAGACAGATTCCAGTCATACCCGGAAGCAGTGCCTTTGGTGTGGGGAGACCGGAAATTGTTTGCTACAGTTTAGCTGGTAAACCGGTGTTTACCTTTCTCACTGGATAATCCGACACTGTCAATTACCCTGTGTTTCTGACATCCATTCAACGGCCTAACAGTTGGTGGACTTTTTAGCCTACATGTACGCGGTGGTTTACCGTCAGTTTATGCTGGTGTCTTCCTACTGTAACGGCCAGGCCAATGCTTTCCTTGCAGTGTTGCTGGCAGAGTGCCTGATGCTGGGTGGGTGCTTCCTGAGAGATGTTTGTTGAGAGGATTTTTATGTGGGCCTCGTAAATATCATGTGATCTCTCTGATTCTTTTCTTCTCTTATCTAACATTGAGATGCTACCTCAGTTCCATTCACTTTGTTCACATTGAACCCTTCACAACTTGACCGAATTCTTCCTTTTCCTCTTTGGTATTATGTCTCTATGCCAGTCTTGAGTCATTTTTAGCATCTAGCAATTTGTTTTAAAGAACATCTCAAAGTCTATCCTGAATGCAATATTGTGAGTGATGGGATTCTATCTATACATATACAAGTAACATCTGTTACTACAACCATTATTCAGATGTATGCACCAGCCAATAAAGCTAAATATGAAGAAACTGAGGATTTCTACCAGCTTTTGCATTCTGAAATTGATCAAACAAGCAGTCAAGATGATTAATAATAATTGGTGATTGGGATGCAGAAATTGGAAACAAAGAAGAGAGTCTGGTAGTTAGAAAATATTATTTTGGTGATATAAATGAGATTAGGAAGGGCATAATAGAATTTTGGGTAACCAATGATTTATTAATTGCAAATACTTTAAAAAAACAATCACCATAAACTTTGACTATATAAATGGACCCACCTGATGGAATCAAATTGACTACATCTGTGCAAAAAGTTTATGGGGAAACTTAATATCAGCAGTCGAAACAAAACCAGGAGCTGACTGTGGAACATATCATTAATTACCCTTGTGCAAGTTCATATTGAAGCTAAAGAAAATTTAAATAAGTCCATGAGAGCCAAAATACAAAATTTAGTTTATTCCACCTGACTGAAAAAAAACCAAACAAACAACACAAAACCTATCTAAAAATCTGTTTGATACAGTGAACATTAATGACCTGATAAGTTATGGAATGATATCAAGGACATCATCCAAGAAAAAACAAAAGGCCATTACAAAGACAGAGGAGAAAGAACAGACCAAAATGAATGTCAGAGGAGACCCTAATAGAGTCTCTAGAATGGAGAGAGTAAAAAAAAAAAGGGGGGTGGGGGGAGAAATGCTGAAGAGCTGAACAGAAGATTTCAAAGGGCAGCTTAAGAAGACAAAGTGGAGTATTTTATGAAATGTGCAAAGATCTACAGTTAGAATATCAAAAGGGAAGAACACACTTGGCATTTCTCAAATTGAAAGAACAAAAGAAGATTAAAGCTTAGAGTTGCAAAATGGAAGAATTTTGTGGGTAAAATATTAAATGATGCAGAAAGCATCAAAAGAAGATGGAAAGGGGGGGGGAAAGAAGATGGAAGGCAACTCGAGGGCACATAACAACAACTGTACCAAGGAGATTTGATTGACACAGAACCATCTCAGGAGGCAGTATATGATCAAGAACCAATAGTGCAGAAGGAAGAAATCCAGGTACACTGAAGGCCCAGGAATTGATTGCACACCAATTGAGGTTACTCAACAAAGGGATGCAGCCCTGGACATGCTCACTAGTCTGTGATAAGAAATTTGGAAGACAGCTACTTGACCAGCCCAGTAGAAGAGATTCATATCTCTTTCCATTTCCAAAAAGGTGACCCAAGAGCATTTGGAAATTATAGAACAATGTCCTTAATATCATGTGCAAGTAAAATCTGGCTGAAGATTATTAAAGAATGGTTGGAACAGTAAATTAACAGAATTGCCAGAGATTTAAGCTGAATTCAGAAGAGAGCTAATGTCACATGAATCTTTACTGAATGCAGAGAATAACAGAAAGATGTTGACTTGTATTTTCTTGACTATGCAAAGGTCTTTGACTTGTAAATAATAATAAATTATGGCTAACATGGAGAAGAATGGGAATTCCACAACATTTAATTGTGCTCATGTGAAATCTCTAGCTAGACCAAGGACAGACAAGGGAACACTAAATGGTTTAAAGTCAGGAAAGGTGTGTATCAAGGCTGTATCTTTTCCCTATACAAATTCAATCTGTTTGCTAAGCAAATAAGCTGTTGTTGTGTTGTTGTTATGTGCTGTCGAGTCACTTGCTACTCATAGCGACCCTATGTACAACAGCCCTGCTCTATCCTGTGCCAGTCGCACTGTCTCTGACACATCCACCCCGATTACCCCAGTCACTGAATCAATCCATCTCATAGTGGGTCTTCCTCTCCTGTGCTGTCCCTCCACCCTCCCAAGCATGATGTCCCCTCTCCAAGGACCTGTCCCTCCTCACAACATGTGCAAACTATATGAAAAAAAAAAAAAGTGGCATCCAGGTCGGGGGAAGACTCATCAGCAACTTGAGTTATACAAAGAAGAATTAAAGCAATTACTGCAGAAGATCAGAGGCTGCAGTCTTCCGTATGAATCACAACTCATCATCAAGAAACAAATATCGGTAGCCTGGCCCCTGCGGGCTGTGCGGCGCTATGGCTGTCACTTTACCGGTGGTGGTGGAGGAGGAACTCCTGAATGACATGGCAGTGGTGGTCCGTAAGAGTGCGCGAATTCCTGATGAGCATCTGTTATCTTCCTAGAGTTTCCAGAGGCAAGCTATTTTGGAAATGGATGCCACTCCTGCTTCCAAGCGTGTTTTAATCTAGGAGCTCCACCAAACACTGTCCGCCATGGCCTCAGGTTTCTCGTTGGCTCCTCAGCCATTCAGGCCTTGGACCTCGTTGGTCGGCAGTCCATTACCTTGATCTCATCTCCTAGTGAGCGTGTGTCCCACGTCCTCTGAAGTTCTGGTAAAACATACATCTGTTTGGCCTCTTGTCATTACTGTTTGTGTCTAGCATTTGCCTTCTCGGTGCTACAGATGAGTGCCAGCCTCCTGTGTAAGCATCTCTTGGCTGTTTATCTTAGTCATATAATGGGGATCTGCCGGCAGCTGTCTCTGACAAGCACCTGACTGACATACTTTTCACTGAGGATGAACAAGAGCATAAAGATACAGAATGAGCATCATCTTCCAAAATAGAAGTCTCATTAAGAAATACAGCTCATATAGAAGAGAGCTGAATGAATCTTCCATAAGCTTCTTGTTGCTGTGACCCCTCTTTGACTTTTCCCTCTTGGCCTACAGGAGGAGCTGGGACTAGAGCCTATGATGTATGGTTAGAAGCCCTGGTTAAGTCCCTTTATGAAAAATCTAACCAGTCTCTGAGCTTCTGGGTAAAAAATTGACCTGGAATCAAGCATTCTGAACTCAAATAAAACCTACTACCATGCTGTAGCCACAGCTGGCAAGGTAAGAAACAAACAAACAAATATCCTTACTACTGGACTAATAGACAACATTATGATCAATGGGGAAAAGACTGAATTTGTCAACAGTTTCATTTTACTTGGATAACACCCATAGTAGCTAAGAAGTTAATAGACATATTACATTGGGAAAATCTGTCAGAGACCTCTTTAAAGTGCTAAAGACCAAGGATGTCAGTTTAAAGAGAAAAAATTCTGACTGATTGAAGCCATGGTATTTTCAGTTGCTTCCTATGTAAAAATGAATAAGGATGACAGAAAAAGAATTGATGCCTTTGAATTGTGGTGTTTGCAAGGAGTACTGCCTATCCCATGGACTGCCAAAAGAACAAATAAATGTGTCTTGGAGAAAGTGCAGTCATGGTGCTTTTTACAGGCAACCAGCTTACATTCAACTCAGTGCTCTCAAATGAAAACCAAATCATAGCTGACCCT